CAGCAGCGTCGTGTTCCTCCTCCAGAGGTTCGAAGAACCGGCATTTCACAGACGAAAGCTTCCAAAACATTGCCCAGTTTGAGGCCGGATATGCACAGCTTGTTTGGACCGTTTGGAGCAGGGGAAGATCTGGGTATACAACCTGTAAGTTTGCATTGTTATTTGTGTATTTATCAAACAAGACTGTTTAAATGTGTAAACTGTGTTGGACTGCTAAGCCATTGACACAGTGCTAACTGTGCTAACTAAGTTGCTAGAGTTTCCATATATCAACTCTAATATCAGCAGATGGCCTTGCATACATGTATCTCATAGCAGGAGAATGTCTGCATTCACACACAAAATACCTATTGACAGTATACTCCGGGTGATTTGCCGGTCAGTCGCGAAACGTAATTACATTATAGCTGGCGTAGCGATCTAACACACGGAGCTAGAGCTAGTTTTGGTCAGAAAAACATTTTTGTGATGCTACGTTGCTAGCGTTTAAATATATCAACTACAATGTCAGCAGATGGCCTTACATGTTTGTCATGGCAGGAGAATGTCTGCAGTCACACACACGGAATACTCATACAGTATACTGTACTGTGATTTACCGTACATTGTGACCGTACATATACTGCATGTAGCTAACGAGGCTAGCTGTATGCTAGCGCAAAACAATGTATTCATGCAAGTTACATTGTATGACCAAACGTAGCAGAATACCCGTATACGATTGCAATTATAAACACGTTATTGCTAGCCTAATATGAACCACTAGCTTTTGTTCATAGTAGTTTTATTACACTGCATTATAGTTGCCTTTCCTCCAAGCTAACGTTCATATCGTGTTAGCTACCAAGGTAAACAAAGCTAGGTTAGCATATTAGCAGGCAAGCTGTTCATTACACAACTACTACTAACGAATCTAAAACAACTAAGTTTCTCTAATATTTTGTGATTTCCATTTGATTTCGTCCAGCCAGATCCTGGCGGACAATCCATGATGGGGAAGGGATTCTACTACTACTGAGGGTGCTAAAAGGCACCGCACCGACTGTGCGCAGGCAAGATGCGAGGAGGAGGAATGGATGATATACCGTGTATATATGTATATTTATGTTCATTTTGTACATTTCTAAAAATAAAGTTTAATGGAAATACTTAGTAGGCCTATCCTTTCTTCCCTGAATTCATATATAGCAAACCATGATTTGATTTCTCATCAAACAGTAGTAGTTTATAACGGGTAAAAATAACTTACTCTTTGTTATGAGAGTAGCTCGTAGACCACAACGGAAAGACAAGGAGACATACACGAGTTTACAAAACCACGGCACATTTATTGTGGTAAATGCAGAGACAGGTGGTCGAGGGGAGAGGGTCGCTCAGTTCGTCCTTCTGCAGCCGCTTTGGAGAGAGACTCCGGGCCGCTGGGATTAATAGCACCGGCTACGGAGGTGTCCGTGATCGCGCTGATTACCCTCTTCAGCTCCACCCCACCGTAAGACAAAGGCCCTGAGGCCGTCACACTCTTCTATAACAACAGTTAAAAATATATATGTATATAAAATATACCGCTGTACCGACGCCATGATAAGACTGATGTTACGCTGAGAGCAGCCGGGAAAAGCACTGACATGGGCGCAGCCTCTCTGGTGGTTGACTAATCAGAACGAGTGGCCGAGCTGACCAATCGGAGCACACTAGGCTCACAGGGAGGGGGGGGCAAGAGCTCCAACGAGTCGTTTAGTGGAGAAAGTGAATACTGCTGAATACACATGCTTGACAGAGATGCTGTATGCGAAACCAATGTGAGTTTGGAAAATTGCACAGTATAAATCTATTTTAGTATACCTCAACAATGTAATTATGATCAGTGGAAATGGCCATGACATGGGCCCCTTTAAAACAATCATAACAATCACTGTACAATCCCATGTATGCATAGAAATATACTTATTTGTATGTGTTATATTTATTTTTAGTAATTATTATCAATTGATACATGTAGTCATGTGTACTCAGTCATGACAGTATCATTATTTGTATGAGCTAAATTAATGCATGTTATTTCATCAAATATTAAACGTATGTATTAAATAATATTGATCCAAACATACCTGTCTACCCAGTGGTACTGTGCCTTTTCCACGCCTGCAGTTCTGTAGCGCTGTTCTAGCCCCTGGTACACGGGCTTCAAGGACTTCTCTGTCTCAGACTGCACCATCGCCCATGAGAGGATCATCCAGTTTTCATTCATCACTGCATATGATGACATGGTCCCGGATGAGAAGGTGACCTTCTTCGCAACTTTGCGAGTGTGGTCTGATCGGCAGGCCTGTCCAAAGGTGCCCTGCAGTAATTTTGTGATGGCGCCCTGCTGGTGTTTGTACTCATGCAGGAGGCAGTCTGTCAGGTAGTATTGTTGTAGCAAACACTTTTGGATGGTGGCTTACAGCCCCCCTCCGCTACGCGCCGTTCGTTAGATGAGGCTGGTTATATTTAATAAAGAAAGGAATTCAAAACACCGGAATAAAGGTTATAACAATAATCTGATTTTACTTGTAAGAAACAAAACACGTATACAAGTTTACAGAGTACTCCGGACTTTCAATTTCCACTGCTGTGCGATACAGGTATCGGGACCAGCCAGTCAGAAAACAGGAAGCATTTTACATGCAAAAACAACAGTATTCATATTCATATTTTGGGGCGGAGATGGGTTGACTTCTTCCTTCCCATTTTACTCAGAAGCGAATCAGAGAGTCCGTGGGGAGGAGCTGTGTGAGCTGCTCACTCCCCCAGGTGTTTTTACTGGTTGGATTCACTTCTGGTCGGGTCCAATACAGCGAATCAGAGTTCTGAGAAAAAGTATGTTTTCTTCTGAGCAGAGCGTGAGATTCGGAAGTTCTCAAGGACAGAGTCAATCTTATCTCTGCACCTGTATTCACTCCTTTACTTTCCCAAGGAATATTTCACACAAACTATTCTTTCCCAGACAACCAAACATTGTACACAGATATATTGATGCCCAGAAAGAACCTTGAAAATAATATGTGTGTGTGCTGGTGGAAGGAGGTGTATGTGTGTGTAACAGGATCTCTGGGTCAGTGAGTTGTAAGTGAGAAGACAATATCTATATATGGGATTACTTAAGACAGTTCAAACAATACATGTTCACTAAAATACAATTCAAAATAATACATGTTTACTTCAATACAGTTTAGAACCATATCTGTTTACTTTAGTATGCAGACCAGGGGCGTCGCCTGGACCTGAAAACATTCGGGGCTTAGCCCACAGTGGCGGCGGCACTACAGTGGCATTTTTTACTGCAACACTCCCCACCTGCACACACACAATACACCCGCGACTGTTACAATGAAGGCTCGATAATCAGCTCACAGCATATAGGCAGGAGTAAAGTGGCCTCCTGTCTGGGGGGATGCTCCCCGGGGAAGATTTTTTTTAAATATTGAAGTTAAATGCATCAATCTGGTGCACTTTGAGAGCAAAATGAAGAGATCTATGGATACCTCTCTCAACACCCATATGAAGCAGAACTGTAAACAGATGTACTTTTTCTTTATGGATATTTTACTAATCACTCCCCTTTTAAACTCTATTCTTGTTTTACTGCCATATAGTATTTCATAACTGTTTTTCCTTTATTCTCTTATTTTTTTTATAACTATAATGATCATATGAAGGTGTGCCGCGGAAATAATCTTTTGAATAATTTGTGACCAAACCGTTTGAGACCCACTGAGATAACTTAGACTAAAGTTAAGTATCTAAACACTCAGAGAGTCCTTTAGCTCACCTGAGTCTCTCAGTCTGAGAGGAGAGGACTCTCCTCCAGCTTCTTGTGGAACAAACAGCTCCTTATGTCCGTTAGTGCAGCTAGCTAACCAGATGCTAACAACACGGTCCCTGCTGGCACCGGGCACCGGTCCCTCCCTCCCCTTCTCTCCCTATCACACTAAATGCGCTATTGCCACACACACACACACAGAGCCAAGCTTGAATGACACAAGCACACGTTTATTTCCATGCAACTCTCTGATTGGTCTGGTGTCATGCCTCTGTTGCATTCACAGAACACGGGAAATTACAGTGCTGCCGTCCTCTCGTGTCATGATGAGGTTCACGTAAAGCACGGTTAATGTATTATATTATTGAGGGAGAATTGTCCGGGGCTACAGAAAAAACATTCGGGGCTAAAGCCCCGGATGCCCAGGCCAGGCGACGCCACTGATGCAGACACAGAGATCCAGTTCCAGCCATCAGAGTCCCCATACTCTCCAAAGGGAGCCGGCTTGGTTTCCTGCCGAAGGAACTGGGTAATTGTCTTCTGGTCGTACTTTCCTTCCTCAACATCCATGATGTTCTTACAGCTGACGAGGGACGCCAGGTCAGCCAGTTCATATTTAAGGTGCATCAACTCCGTGATCTGCTTTGCCATATCAGTGGGTGACTTACCGCTGCGCCGGAGCTCATCCAGTACCGACCTACAGATGGCTTTCTTGCAAGTCAGTACTGCTGGCAGCAGGTTGGTGAACCTCTTGGGGAGCTTTTCCAGCCAGGATGGGTTGTCGGCATACCACCTCTTCCGGCAGACTTTGCAGCAGAGCCTTGAAGACAGCAAGTAGTACTGTCCGGTGGTGCCGACAATCACACGAGGCCTACCAACACCAGCAGAGGCAATTTGAGGCTGAGCACAGCCGTCAATACAAGTGTGTAGTGTAGTTGTTCCTCAGCCTTCCCATCAAATTGTCATTTTCTGGCTTCCAGATGAAAAAGGGATGGAGCTGAAAATACTTGGCGCAGGGAAAATCATAAACGCTGTCAATCAGCTCTGGCTGGGGAGGGCCACGCCACAATGACAGCATCTTCAGAGGGTTGCGTACAGGAACGGAGCCTGGCCAGAGCCCCATGGATTCCAGCTCCATCTTCATCCAGATCCTCTGCTGCGGCGAACAGTTCCAATGACTAACATCCTGGTTGTAGGCAGGAAGCTGAGGAGGAGGAGGAGGACAGCTGGGGACCGTTGATGGCCTGGGTAATGGCTGACCTAGGCAGACAATAAATAAAAACACATGGCAAATAATTACGATTGTGTGTGTGTGTGTGATTTTGTGAAAAATGATTTCTAGCAAGTATACATCCAAATGAGAAACATTCAAACACTTGAAGGTGCCTCAAAAATGTGATGTATTGTTATTGTTATTATTACTCACTTTGTGTTGGTGCAGCTGGTGGATGCAGTGTCGGTTGACAGGGCTCTGCAGAAATCTCAGGAGCCACTATAGAAAATATTAAAACATGTCATTATTATCAACAGTAAAATAAAGAAATAATGTTGTATGACACTTAGCATCTTCACTGTAGTCAGCAAACTGTACAAGGTGCAAATAGTCAAACATATACACACCTGGAACAGTGATGTTGGTCTCTGTTGGTGTCGGGGCGGATGGTTCCGGCATCATAAACATCAGCTCCTTTGGAAGGGGCACAAGTCTCTTTACAGGAAGAGCAGGGGCTGCATGGAGGGATGGCCAAAAGATTCATCAACATTTTGGACAGATGCACAGTGAATGTGATTCAGGGTTTAAATGTATAAACAGTAATATAATACATTACCATCTACTAGTGAAGCCTTCAGTTCATTAGAGAGGGTAGCAGATGGTACTAAAATAGAAAAGTGTGTCAGTGTATTCCAGTAGCGTGGTGTGGGGAAAAAATTAGGGGAAGCCAGTAATACGTCCTTTTTTTTTTTGGGGGGGGGGGGGGGTGTGTGGTGGTCAATGTAACGCTGCAACCAGATGAGTGATTACAGCGCCCGGTATCATTTTACACACATTTGTATCATACAGATGCAGGACTTACACACGCCTGTTATCTAACCGACAGGTCCGCACGCACTCTCCAGCCGAAACTCTAATAAGCATTCATTCACAAACTAAATCAGGAGACCTTTAACGTTTTACGTCCGATTCGCTCCTTTTTTTCTCGCTGTACACAGCTCCAGTTTGGGCATTGGCCTGTCATCAGATTTAATTTTAGTTGCTGCTGTAGCGGAATTTTAGTACAATTATTGCAGTGGTGCAGTGACGCTATCTATCTATCGATTAGATTTATGATTCGAAAATTATAAAAGTAGAGTAGACATGTGGATATTATACGGCTGAACAAAACGTGCATTTATCAAACAGGTTCGTTTTCCACTGACCTTATTTCAAGCTATTTTCCAAAATCCTATGGAGAAATCCCAGTGCTTTTTTGTCGAGGGAACGTGAGCGCAGCTTACTTCCGGGTTTTAGGACGCGTCACTGCACCACCAAGTTCATGCGATTTGATTGGATTGTGAGGCAAGGGAAGCCAGCCGCCTCTGGCTTCCCTTGGCATGGCTCTGACTAATCACAGGGTGGCAGAGGCATCACGTGAGCCTCGTTTGATTGGTCAATCCCTCAATTTTTTTTCACCAAGGGAAGCCAATTTCGGCTGGCCTCCTCTCGCAACAGTGAGTGCAATCTACTGTTTTACCATAACATCTAGAGGGGCGCTGTTTCACTCTTTGTAAAATACTCAATGAGAATGGGGGTGAGATGGGCCGGCAGCAACACACAGCAAAGAAGAATTTCCAAAACTAAACGCAGTGTTTTTATTTATTTATTAAAATTATTCTTCAATCCGAAAAAACAGGGGAAGCCTGGCTTCCCTTGGCCTCCAGGAGAAAACGCCACTGGTGTATTCATATTATGGCAATATAGAAATAAGTAATTATGTTAGTAAGACCAAACATCACCCATCTTTACTTCACCTGCTAATCTCATAAAGTGAAACACACTGTTTATCATATTAATGTTTAGAGAATACATTTCATTCATACACATGTGTTAGAAATTAAAATCAATGTTTAATAGCATAATTCAGTCTAAAACATATCGTCAGTTTAAAAGCTGTTTTATTGTGGAAAAATCCGGAAGTTCTCAGGAAATCTCAATGCCAAGCTTTTATTCTGAAAATCCTTCATATCCGGACAGTATGTAGAATGTAGCTAACAATGTGTTTTCTGAATGTAAAGTGAAAATGACATGGAGTGTTACACACCAAAACCTACGGACTTTAACACTACATCTATAGACGTCGAGATATTATTACTGCTGAATATTAAATGAAGGTACAGTTGATCGTAGAGTGTTTTCACATACGTGAGTAAGCTATGACGTCAGAGGGAGTTACCGTAAATGAGAACTGTGCCGTAGAAGTGTTTCTAGGACTTCTAAACTAACTATTACAGCTGTTTATAAGGTATTAAATAGAAAGTCATGACAGAGATAAGGAGGAGAAAAGGCTTAAGGAAGTAGGCAGGGAATACAGAATGTCGAAATCCTCTGTTTTCCGCAATGTCAAACCAAGCAGAGGAGAAGGGCGGTCCCACTATCTGCACAGCGGGAGAGAACAAGAAAAGTATAAAGAAGATCGAAAAGTACAGCCCGGTCTCTTTTCCTACGCTGCAGCTCCCTGGAGACATCACCGGCTTTGTCTCTTCCTTACCTATGCTTGTTCTTTAACCACGTTACTTAATTAAAGTACCCATTTGAACCTTTTCAGAGACTCCATTAGTCTCATTATTTTAAGTTTCTTTCCTGGGAGCGAGAAGATCACGATTTATCAACACATGCATTATTTTTGTTTGGATTAATAATGAAATAACTTGGCACACTGCAAACACATGCGTTCAAGTGTTAGTGACCACAGCAGTTTAAATGTGTACTTTTCATTCAATCCAAATAAGAAAAAAAGCAGTAACTTACCCTCAACATGACTGGTTTCAATTCATAGTCACTAGGACAACATGTAGAAGAGCAAAGACAAACAGACCAGGGGCCTCATTTATAACGCCGTGCGTAGGATTGACGTGGGAAGGTTACTTACGTAGTACAAAGCACAAAAATAGGGACATACATTTTCCGCCATTTTCCGATTCACAAAACATTGCGTACCGGCGAGGGAAGTGCGTACGGCACTTCCTACGCCGGTTTCCCTTTATAAATCCCAATCAACTAGAAATGCGGTGCAGCTTTTGCGGGCTTCCCGTCACACCCATAATTGCCCATAAATAATATTCATCAAACCGATTTCCGGCAAAAACGAACATGGCAAAGACAGAAAAAAGAGGCAAGAAAAGAAACTTTAATAACTCTGAAGTTGAAATCCTTGTCAGAGAAGTAGAGACGAGGCAAAACATTTTGTTTGGTGGCCATAGTATTGGCGTAACGAATGCCAAAAAGGCAAGAGAGTGGCAGCATGTGGCAGATGCTGTGAACTCTGCATCAGCACAGGGTCGCACTGTCGCTGAACTTAAAAAGAAGTGGTCCGACATTAAGGTGGACGCCAAAAAACGCCTGGCCTCTGTTGGAGCAGAACACCTATTGTGGTGGCTGATAGCCACCCCCTCTGCTACGCGCCGTTCGTTGGATGAGGCTGAAATCTCTATTAAAATAAAGAAAGGAATTGAAAACACCGGAATCAAAAGTTATAACAATTATCTGAGTTTACTTCTGGTAGGAAACCAAACACATATACAGATGCAGCGTCTTATTTTGGACAGTTTAAAGTGCGAGGGTCGTGATCGGTTCATGCACGTTCCGTGATGGCCGGCCGGCCCCCAGTCAGACTTGATACCGCCCCCATGATAAATACATTTAATTATTGTGAAGCCAGCTGCAATGGATCATTGATCCACCAGGGGGTGCAGTGGAGTTCCACACTGGAGTCATGTGAAATCAACTTCTAAATAATAGATGTTGTTTAGTCGGAAAAAACGAACGAGCCGGCTCTCCCGATTTTTAATCCTAATTTAATCATCATCATTGATGTTTATGTTCGCCGAATTGACATGAAATCACTGACAAATATGAATATTCTGTATTCAACTTCATTGAAACGATCAGGATGGGTGTTATTTTTCCCCACAATGACCAAGTCGCTGCAAATGATCCCATGTATTACATGTACATGGCCACATTCTCAACAAAGTTACGTAACGAAACATTCTGTATTCCTTGCTTACTTTTTATTTAATGCTTTATAACAGCTGGAATAGTTCGTTTAGAACAGGCACCTCACTCGCAATCTGCTCCTCCGCAACGCCTACCACCTACCTCCGGCTGAAATTATGAATGTACAGTAAGGCATAGTAATCATAGATAACACGGCAGGGTCCGTTACAGTTTGTTTTCATCTGATTTCAAATATTTCAAATGTCTGAAGTTAATAAATACATTCTCAGTGTTCAAGTCAATAATAGTCATATAAGAAAAGTACTGATCTAATAACAGAGATTTTATAAGGACTTTTCAATGTTCGACATCGCTCATGTGAAATACAGTAAACTGGATGTTGTGGTGCCGAGAGGCGGGGTATCAAAAGTACAAGCTAAACTTTTATTTAGCATCTGAACACACTTGTAAACAACGTGATGCCCGGGAAGCGAAGACCCGGCGGAAACAGCTGGTCTGGTTCACTAAAATGTCCGTGTACAGTATATCTGGTACTAATGTATAGCGGATCTTTGTTAAGATCCATATGTCACGGATAGAACTATATATTGAGCTTTAAAACAAATGATATATATTATAATAAAATAAACACCGGCTGTTGTTATGCCTGCTATAACGTTTACTTTCTCCGTTCTCCGCTTAAGTAATTATTACTTCCTGGTTAGCTTTCCGCTCGAAATTTAAATCTGAAAATGGCAAAAATAACGGAGAAAAAAACGTTCACAGAGAAGACGACAACAATTGTCACTTGCACTTGTCATTTAGCATCTGAACACACTTGTAAACAACGTGATGCCCGGGAAGCGAAGACCCGGCGGAAACAGCTGGTCTGGTTCACTAAAATGTCCGTGTACAGTATATCTGGTACTAATGTATAGCGGATCTTTGTTAAGATCCATATGTCACGGATAGAAACTATATATTGAGCTTTAAAACAAATGATATATATTATAATAAAATAAACACCGGCTGTTGTTATGCCTGCTGTAACGTTTACTTTCTCCGTTCTCCGCTTAAGTAATTATTACTTCCTGGTTAGCTTTCCGCTCGAAATTTAAATCTGAAAATGGCAAAATAACGGAGAAAAAAACGTTCACAGAGAAGACGACAACAATTGTCACTTGCACTTGTCATTTAGCATCTGAACACACTTGTAAACAACGTGATGCCCGGGAAGCGAAGACCCGGCGGAAACAGCTGGTCTGGTTCACTAAAATGTCCGTGTACAGTATATCTGGTACTAATGTATAGCGGATCTTTGTTAAGATCCATATGTCACGGATAGATATTATATATAGAGATGGGATGGCAGAAGGTGCTATATATATATATATAATTCCAAAGCTGGTAAAGACCTTTCAAATTTAGCAATAATAGTCATATAAGAAAAGTACTGATTTGTTCTTGAATCAACTTTTTTATGGAAAATGTTTTATGT